GGGGGGGGCATTGGCAGGGGCTAGGTGGAAGTGCCTGGATGCCCCTAGCCAGCCTGGCTGTACGGCAGACTTGGGGAGGGGGGCAGATTTCCCAGGGCAAGCTTAGGGGTTAGGACGGCACCAGAGACATCCCAGCATAGGAGAGCTGCCCCAAGCAGGTAAGCGAAGAACCAGATCTGGCTGCCATGGGGGTGGAGTGGGGTGGGGAAGGAGTCAGGGATGGCTTCTGGCATGGGACCCAGGAGTCCTGGCTTCTGCTCCCCATCCTAATCACTACAGCCCCTTCCTTCCTTCCAGGGCTGGGCTAGAGCCCAGGTGTCCTGGCTCCTGGCTCTTCTCACATTGGATCTCTCTCAGCAGAGATCAGTTGGTCCAAACTCATCCTGACTGAATGCCCTGATCCCACTTGCCTCCTACAGCCTGGCTGCCTTGGGAGATGCCCCTTGCTCCCTTTCTTTGAGGGGTGGCACATAGGTCCCCCATCCCCATCAGGGGGAGGAGGACCCCCAAAGTTGACACCTGAGAGGCCCTGTGACTTTAAACTCTAAGGGATGGGGAGTATATGGGGTGCAGGACTAGGGCTGTCCCCCATGTATAACAACCCCCCCTACAGGACTGGGAACCCCCTGCTTAGTATGAAGGGATGGGGGCTGTCTAACTATCTTTCTTCTCCCCGCAACCCAGGTGACCTTGGCCATGTTGATCTGGGCCCTGCTCCCCGTGGTGCTAGCCGTGGGGGCTGCCATTGGCTTCTGGGTCGTGTGAGTAATGGAGGAGCTTCCTGCCCGCCCCCCCCGCGCGCATTCGGTTGGGACCCAGGGTCCCGGCTTCCCCTCCCCATTCCAGTCATCACACCCTTCTTCCTCCTGGAGCTTGGATTAGGAACTTTCCCCTCCAGGGGGGCCCTCCAGAGCAGACACTCACTGGCTGTGAGTATGGGTGTAGGGTAGGGGTTGTGCCCACTAGACTCTGGCCTCCACCCCATAGCATGTGCCCTTAAGGCCTCTGCTCTGTCCCCCTCACAGGTATGCCATGGCCGTGGCCAATGGGTCCGTGAACATCACCGTCGTGTTCCCCTACATAAGGTAGGTGGGGGAAAACAGCCCTCAGCCCCCCTGGATCCCTCTGGGACCTCTCCACAGGCCTGGGGCCGCATGTAGGGCATGGGGGCACATGTGGCTGATGGCCTCTTCCCTCTTCCCCCAGCACCTGTGGCTCCTTCCCACCCCAGAGCTGCATCTTCGGTCAAGTGCTCAACTTGGGGGCTTTTGTAGGTAAGTGATGTCGGCCTGGGGCAGGGGTGGTCACGGGGCAGAGGCCTATCCTCCGCTGCTGATCTGTGCACCTGCTCCCACCCCATTACCCAGTGGTCTGGATCTCGGTCCTGAAGTACCAGCACGTGCGGGAGTATGGCTGTCACAGTGCCCTGAACACCACTGGACTCGTGCTGGGGCTGCTGTGTGCACTGGGTGCCTCCATCGTGGGCAACTTCCAGGTGAGTGGCAGGAAGATGCAGTGCCCAGGGGGTGGGGGGCTGTGCAGGGATAGATGGGGAGGGGGACTTTGCAGGGGGGAGTCCTGGAATGGAGTGGAGGGGGAGACTGTTGGGGGGAGCAGGGTAGGGATAGAGGAGCTGGGCAGGGTGATGTGGGGTGATAGCTGGACAGGGGGCACCATGCTGGGAGCAGGGGCTGAGCATGGGCAGCTTTCCAAGCTCCTCCTGGCCTCTCTGCCCACCCCAGCAAAGTAACCAGCTGGAGACCCACCTAGTGGGTGCCTTCCTGGCTTTTGCGGTGGGTGTCGGGTACTTCTGGGTCCAGGCTATCCTGACTTATCGGGTGACCCCACGGCACGGTGGGAACTGGATCGGACCAATCAGGATCTTTCTCTGTGCAGGCAGCACCACTTTCCTCGTGGCCAGTATCCTTCTGAGCAAGGGGCACTGATAGGGCTGGGGAGCAGGGAGCTATGGGTTGTGAGAAAGGGCCACCAGCAGGGCTGGGGTGGGGTGGGGAGGGAGCCTGGGAACTGCGGGTTGGGAGTGAGCCTGGGAACTGCGGGTTGGGAGTGAGGGGCACCAGCAGGGCTGGGGGGGCCCAGGGCTGGGGGACAGGGCAGGAGCACAGGGCTGGGGGCCCCCAGCATGACGTTGGCACCTTGATGTTGGCACAGTGGTGACCCTGCACATGCTGGGCTTGCGGTCGGTGGCCGCGGGCTGTGAGTGGGCCTTGGCCATGACCCTCTTCCTGCTCTTCGGGCTTTTTGCTGTGGAGTTCCGGCATGTCACTGGCTGCTCCCTGCGGCTGCAACGCCCCATGCCCACCCACACCCATGAGCTGGTGACGGCCTCCAACCCCACCCTGGCACTCTAGGCTCCTCCCCAGCTAGAGCCCCCTGCTGGGCAGAGGGCATGCCCCCCTTACACTCCTTCTCCAATGGATGGGGTGGGGGGTATGGCTTGGGGCCATTTTCATGTCATCCAGGCTGTACTGGGCCCAGCTTGACCCATGGCCAGGGTAGAGATGACAGCCCTCATTTCCCTCTCGAGCAGGGGAATCACCTCCCCCTCTCACCTTAGTCTGAGTCCCACTGCTTGGAGGGGAAAGACAGGGGCCTCCTGTGACCCTGCTGGGCTGGATCACCTCCCAACATAGGACTGGATCACCCTCCCACACAGGTTGGATCATGCCCCCCACACAGACTGGATTACTCCCACACATGGACTGGATCTCCCACCCCACAATAAGCATGGACTGAATCACTGCCACACAGGTTGGATCATGCCCCTGCCATGGACTGGGTCCCTCTCCACAAGCTGGATCACCCCGACATGAGTTCTATCACCTCCCCACCCACAACAGGCTGGATCAATGCTTCTCATGTGGACTGGATTACCTGCCTCCCTCCCACAGACTGAACTACCCCCGAAACACAGACTGGACCCTCCAACACATGGACAGATTTCCAACTCCCCCAGCACTGCTGTGAGTTCTCCCCCCAGGATGAGGCTCTAATAAACATTTCTAACTTCTGGCCCCTGCTGCCCTGGGATGGAGCACAGGCCAGGGCATGGCAGTGGCATCCACAGGGTGCAGAGCTGGTGTGGGGAGGTGCCTAGCTGGGAAAGGCAGTGCCCTCACAAACACCTCCCCCTACCTGCAGGCCTGCAAGGAACCTGTTTCCCACCCACTCCCAACCCTCTAGGAGTAGCTGTGCCTGCCATAGGGCCCTTGGGTGCCCTCAGTTTGTAGGGGCAGCGTGGGGGCCAGAGCAGGGGTGGGGGTGGGATTGGAGGTCCAACAGAGGCAGGATTCTGAAGGGACTGACTGGTGGGGGGAGAACAGACTGAGCCAGGCCCCCACGAAGGGGGTGGGGGGCGGGAGATTGGTTTTATGTTCATTTTTTGTATTTGTTGTTGTTTTTAGAGCATATTGAGACCCCAGAGAGAGGCATGGGGGAGGTGGGGTGGATGGACAGATGGGGGCAGTCAGACAGATGGGAAGACAGACAGGAGGGAGGGGGTGGCGGCATAGGGAAGAGGGGTAGATACAGTTCTCTCAGGATTGGGCACGCCAGCATGCGATTGAGCTCACCCCAAAACTAACCTGGGGGCAGGGGATGAGGGGTGAGGTGGGGTGAGGGGGAGCCTGGATGGATCCCTTCTGAGTTGCGTGCAGGTGCCCCTCACTCCCAACCTGCAGCCCCTGCTGGGGTCCCTCATTCCCAGTTCCTTAAGGGATCTGTGCTGTCCTCCACCTCCCCTCCTTCCCCCGCCCGCAAGCCGTGGTGGGGTCCCATTGAATGTCTCATCCTAAACAGCCTCCCCTCAGTGCACCCCACCCCAGAGGCAGCTGCACCTCAGCACTGAGTGGGAAGTTTCGGCCTTTGCTTCCCTCCCCCCACATCATCTTCTCCCCCCTCCCAGGCTCAGAACTCCTGTGGGGGACTGGGACCCATTTTCCAGCACTCCCCACTCCACCCCCAAGTTCTGTCCCATGTCAGCTCCTGTCCTAGCTGAGGTCCCTGACCTAGCAAAGGAACTTAAGACCCAAGCAATTTGTCACACCAATTGGCAACAGGTCCTGGAGCCAGAGAAAGGCAGCACATGTGTGAACAATGAGGGGTTAAATGAGGTGGGGGTCAAACCCATTCCCTCCACCTCTTGCCTCATCCATGAGGTGCAAGACCCCAGGCTCTGTTTGAACCTGTTTTGTGGGACCAGTTCCCCACCTCCGTGTGAATGCTCTTCATCTGGATCAAGAAGGGAGGCTGGTTTCTGATGGAGGGAGCCAAGAACCAGGTGCCTCTCCTGACTTGGGCTAAGGATCGTCACATGGAGGATCTTCACATAGACCCAATGTAAGTGTTTCCGCCTGTCATCCCCAGAGATGGCTGCATCTCAGTGCCAGACAAGGGGTCCCTGTATAAACAGCCTCTGACATGCCCCACCCCAGATTCAACTGCATCTCAGCACTCATCTCCTGTTCCCAGCCCAGGACTGAGTCCCCAGCCCAGGGCTGAGAGTCCCCGGGGCCCTCCCTGGTGCTAATCAGCAATTAACCTGCCATCAAAGGTCACCTTTGTTCCTAGTAGTGCCTGGGAAGCCAAAGGGCCAACATCTTCCTAATCCAAGGTGAATGCATCAACACACAGCACTGCTCACCCAGTTCAACTCCAGGGGCTGGGACAGCTGGTTCCTGCCTTTCTGGCATTAACACAGGAAACAATCTGGTCTTAGCCAGGCCTAAACACACAAATGTTGCTGGTCTTGCTCACTCTCCCATCAACTGGGAGGTTATGGTGGGGTTGGAAGATCATACCCCCACCCCAACAGCCAGCAGAGAGGGTGCAGGGCTAAGATCTGGATTAGCTGCCCCCAGAGCTGAGGTGCCCCTGGTTTGGTGGAAGGAGGTGATAACTCGACTTCAAGCCTGGGTAACTCTGGGAGTGGAAAAATACCCTCATCAATGGAGCTAGATGGGTTCTGACCCTCCTTTCACCCACGCCCCTGGGTTGGAAAGCTGCTTGATGTCCTGCTCCTAGTTCTGGTCCTGTCTACACTGCAGTTCTGGCTTTCCCTTCCAACCTGGCCTCATACCTGTTTTCCTCTCTGGTGGGCTGGTGGTGGGGAATGGGCAAGTTAATTGAGTGTAGATGTTCCCAGCTGCTGAACTGTGCTGCGTGATGAAGTGTTCATACAGGGCCTGTTAGCCCCCTTGGACTAACACCCCTCAAAGTAACAGCTTATACCCTTTCCTCTGTTAAAATCCCTAAGGGTTACGGTGGGGGTTATGCATCTAGAAAGCCTCCTTGGGCTACACATCGGTGTGACACCATATGAACCTCAGCTCTAAGCCTTGCCTCTCCCAGCCCTTCCCTGAGCTTGTTCCTACTTTATCTGACACCGAACCTCCGTGCACCTGGCTTGAAACCAGATTCTGGAAAGCATCGAGTATAAATGGACCCTGGTACCGAAATACACCCTTACAGGCAGTGAGTGGTGCTGGAGGGGGTGTGCATGTGTGTGAAAGCCCCACACAGCTGCATCCACACCTGCTTTGCAAAGCCACAAGCCCCTCCCTGGAAACAAGCCCAAAGAGTTTCCAGTGTCATCACTGAACTGGTTTCCAGTGCCACCAGCTCAGCCAATGGTGCCTGTGACTCCTCTTCTGTCTGGGAGTAAATCCAAATTCTTACCACCACCCTGTCCCCTCCAGGCAAACTGAAAGGGGTAAATTCAACTGGGTTACCAGTGCATAGATATATCTCAATTTGGCCACATCTCAATCAGCACCAGTGGGTGGGAGGACTGGGATCCCAGTTCAGACGAAACCCAGAGCAGGGAGGTTGGCAAAGCAGCTAGTGCCGTGGGGGCCCAGTCTGGGCAGGGGTGTTTGGAGGAACCTAACTAAGGGAATTCCCAGTCATGAAGAAGCTGCTAAGCAAGGGAGGCTGGGCTAGGAGGAGTGATACACACTGCTACAAACTGGCCTTCTATACAGAAACTGGTCAGGACAGCTCACCTGACTTGATTCAAAGCTAAACTGGATTAAACTTGCCCTGTGTGCTCCTGATTTAAGCATCCTGTGTTGGGGTTAGAGATCCTTAAGGAATCTGGAGAGATGAACCAGATGGACCATCTGACCATCTCGATCCTCCCAGTCTCAGGCTATGGGCTGAGAAGGGACAGGAGGATCTATGTGGTCAACCAAAGACTGCAGCGCTGGTGTCGTCAGGAAGGCTTTGGCTTTCATGACCACAGCCCGCTCTTTGGCGAGAGAGGCAGCGAGCTGCTGGGAAGGGATGGCCTCCACCTCTCTCCCCTAGGGAGAAGGCTCTTCTCAGCCAGACTGGCTGACCTGCTCCACCGGGCTTTAAACTAAGCCCATTGGGGGACG